ACCACCCTGCGCCGAACTCATCTTTACAAACGTCATCAACTACTCAGCAACGATTTCCTAGCGAGGGAGAATGTTATGTGTTTTTGATTTTGCCGTATTCCATGCTTTGGCATATTTACCGTTCTAATACATGTTTCTGTTTTTATAGTTCATACGTCTGGATTATTAATCGAGCGAAGCCTCCTTATCGGCTTTTGTCTTCTTCCTTCATCCCTGGAATAATCTGTGTTCATTACAGCCACCGTCTGTCGATCGTCTTAAATTCAGCACCTCTGTTTAGAAGCAGCTAGTGTTCGTAGGCCCCATGCATCTGCGATTATCCAGAGCTGATTACGAGCCACTCCTTTTCTCAATAACCTTTATTAGCTTGGAATGTCTACATACAATCGTTCCGCTGCTTTATCACTAACTGACATTTAGATCTCTCTCGCGGCAAACGATTTATTTTTGATTTATACTGCGCTTCCTATCGTATTAGGCTGGCTACTTGCTGTTCAGGCACCATGCAATCACCACTAGCCTTCTGACATCTTTTACTCCATCCCCGCGCAATTGCTGCCTTATACTAAACTGCTAGTTCGTGAACTATGTACTGGTACAACGTTCTTGTCTCTACGCAGACGTTAGCAAGCTTTCCATGCGGCTATTGATTCTATAGGGCATTCAAAAGGCACTTTCTGCATAATCATTTTTGCACAGTGTACATGATTTTGTCTCAGCTCCAAAATTTGTAACATAAGACTTTAACAATATTTAGCTCCACGCCTGTTCTTGCGGTCTTCTCTCGGTTGTACCTCACTTCCCTGTTCTCCGAGGTCCGGAACTTCTCGGAGATCAGGGATTGGAATGAGGAACCGATTTCGCTCCACGGACGTAATAGCCGACAAGGACCTACATGGAGAATGGCTGTATACCAAAGGGACTTCACTGCAATCATTACCACAGCCGTTGTTCAGTTTAGAGAGCTGGACACGTCTTCACCCTTCCAAAAATTATGCAGCTGAAAAATCCAGACAGCAGAAATGTCTGAAACATTGCACACCTGTACACACAACAACAGAACTATTCGTATGTTCCTATCCTCAACCGGCAGCAACAATTATGGCGGCCCTGATCAAACTATCTTTCTAGCCAGCAGAGCGAGTGTAAGCTTTTTGACTGCGAATAACCGTGTATGGAATCTATCGTCAAGCGGCTTTGCCAGTCATACATCAATGTTCAAAATTCTTTACGGCCTTGTTGCAGGACGTGGTGGGCTTTCGTTTAGCGAGCCTTTTCCATATAAAAGGCCATGAATTTCTGTTTAACGTCACTGCGATGTGGCGGATGTGACTCGCTACTGTATAAAGTCACTGCCCACAACTGCATACTGGCAAGCCGGCTAGACTCATATTTCAACTTTCTCCGGACAAGTGCAATAATTTGATACTTTCCGGCTACATGTACCGTTTCGCTGCACTTATAGTGCCAAGGCTGCTTACACTGCGCACGATTGAACCTAACGTATGTTTGTGATGCACAGCGGCTTGTAAACCTTGCTCATGCCTGATTCGGCGTGTCTTTATAAATTTGAGAATAAACTGTTTATTTATTTATTTATTCAATAGTTGCAAAGCTTTCAAAACCAGGGGAAGACGTGTACATCGTTTTTGTTTCATCGAAAATGATGGGGTCCGCGCTGCCAACTCCTACAGAAGTCATTGATATAAATCAAAAATAGGGTTGGGCTAAGAAAGCTCCCCTGTACCACACAAATTTGGATGGAGGGCGGGGTGGATACAATTTGCTCAATCTTAATTGTCGGCGTGCGTTTTATAAAATAGGAAGGTAACCAGTCTAATAGAGGAATGTCTACCCTGTAAGCCGTTACCTTATGCATCAGGCGCTTTTGTGGTACCCAGTTAAACGACTTTTGCATATCAAGGTGTAGAATGATAACTGAAAGCTTAGAGTCAAGGGGCTCGGTGACTAAATTGAGGAAGTCTAGCTGCCAGGTTGCACAAAACCGGGCACTCAGAAATCCGTGCTTTGGTGCATTTATGCACCTGCCTGCACTAAGCTGCCTCATGTGGGCTCATTTGAGAAACTTCTCCATCACGCGCTTGAAGATAGAAGTGTGACTAATAGGGCGCTAGTTATCAACCTCCCGTAGACTTCCACCTTTATGCCGTGGTAAAAAGAGGAAATGCTTGCAAGCGCTCGGGCATCGACCTTTCTGATTTGCTATGTGGCCCCAAAAGAAGAATAGGGATATCTTCACCACCATTCTTAAGTAGACTTGGCGGTATTCCGTCTGGACCAGGGTTCAAGGATGGCTTGCAAGTTGAAATGGTAGAACGGACACTGTTTATGCCAAAGTGTACAGAGGACAGGGACCGGCTAGCGTGTCCTTGCAAGGCCTGAAATATTTAACCTATTTCTAGGCACTGCGATTCTTAAATTTTGAGCTGAAGACTTCAGATATAATTCTTGTTTCGTTGGAAGTATTGTTAGGGATAAACTTCGGGGTAAAGATCTGTCGTCCATAGTTGGGGTCTATACGCGTAGCAGCCAACTGAATTTCGTTGCTTCGTCCGCAATATTTAGTGCGGCTTTTTCGTGTTTGGCTTGCTTCTGCATTATTGGGCAGAAAGCTCATTCGCAAACTTAGTGGTTCTCATCATGTGCATAAAGTTAAATGTTATTTTAGTAACATCGTCTAAGCTGAGCATTATGTTATACATATTAGGTTGTTGCATTTTTACACAAGTGCCTTATTAAAAGCGACATGGGGGCCAGCAACTCGACCCAGTAAAGGATTTTGCATAAAACCGTTCAGCCGACTGAACCACAGAAGTAGATCTAAAGAATGCAACCAAATTCCTTTGTCTGACGTGTACAGCAATGGTTGTCCAGCCAACGATGTGCATCGGCCCATAGACTACGACGGCGTCCCTTTCGGTTGGATAGGCATTAAGCCACTTTAGGTAAACCGAATAATGCATTAATCTGTGAGCACTGCCCGGGGACTCCTGACCAACTGACATTCGCGTTGCTGGGAAGACTAGAGTAAATATTAAGCCAAAAGATATTTCGCCCTGGTTGGAGCAGTTATAGGTGGTGTCCAGCCTTCTAAATAGTTACATGCTATTACACTTGCATACTTCGTTGTTGCGACAGGTGGGAACCAGTTTAACTCAAGCAGGTTGCAATCTCCTGCGACCAGTTTGTATTCGCACGAAAGAGTTAATGCCTGCGCTAAAGTATCCATGACTGCGTTGTCAACCTTGGTTGAAGTATCGGGTGGTCCATAAACACACCTAAATATTACCGCTGGTCCCAGGATATTAGCCGTTGTCCATCCTGTATCCATTGCCTTAGCTGCGTCCATGATCTCAGACATTTTGCTGGGTAAGTGTTTTTAACATAAACGGCGCACCCGCCCCTCGTTTATGCACACTAGCTTGCATG